ATCGACATGATCAATCAACCACAACCGACCTGATCGGTCAATTGACTTCTTTGGTCAACATGATCCATCGACCGCCACCAACCCATTCGGTTAATTGATAATCTCCATCAATATGATCAATCAATCATAACTGACTCGATCGGTCAATTGACCTCTTTGGTTGACATGATCGATCCGCCGCCATCGACCCGATCAATCGGTCAACCATCTTTGTCATCATGATTGGTCAACCACCATAGGCTCAATCGGTCGATCAACTTCTTCGGACAACATGATTGATCAGCTGCCACTGGTCCGATCAGTTTGACCGCCTCCGTTGACTCGATCGATCGACCAAATACAAACTGATTGTATCAATCAATCAATTTCAATTGAATGTTGCATTGTTGCAGGCTTTTCATTTGCTTGCATCAGCACATTCGTACCAACACCCTGGTGTTCACCTGTGAGCATGTCTTTATATGCTCATAAAGGGTATTTGTGCTTTGCTTAGACAAAAATACTTCGTTCATTTGCTTTCTTGACATTCTCACTAGTCATTGTGCACCACGTCACGTGTGCTTGCATTTGCACTCTCAAACTCTTACATGTTTTCTTGCAAGGCATCTTGTGTGCTTATGGCTTGCATGCTTGAAATATGCATTTGTGCCGATATTCTCACACACTCACTTGTGACGCTCGTATGTGCTCTTTGGGAATGGTTGGCACATCAAGCCTACCTGGTGCATAATTCTCCCTAATGGGAATTACATTGTTTCACGACCTACAACACCATTTAGGAATGTCATAGGTATTTCACATCATGTCACTTGGCGCGAGTTACATTCCCCCAGCCTCTGAACCCGCCTAGTGCATGATGTGTTCCCACCTGGGTACACAACTCTCTCCATGACCGGGTCATGCTCCTCAACCTTTGAACATGCTTGGTGCATGATTCATATTACTCATCAACCAAGATAACACCCTACACTGTCATGGACATGTTTTATTGCATAGAGTGTGTGCTTGCCTATTTGCATGGTGCATTACACATTTGTATGTGTCAGTCATTTGCCTGTGTGCTTGGCCATTATCGAGGTAAGGTTTGATCCCCATGTGGTTTCCTATACCCTAGGTAGAAAAGCACAACATCACTTGTGCAATGTGTCTTGCATACACATCTTTACACTATCAGTGTATTCGTCACTAGTATATGCCATCATATACTCGTAAAGAATATTTGTTATCTGGTGATTGCTCTTGCCTCGATGAAATGATCACATTACATTGGATCACTTTATATCTATATGTGCCTTCTCAGATTGCCTTGACAATAAATCCAGCTCATTAGTTGAGTGATATGTTGCTAGTCACAAAGCATTTATGAGTATTGCCCGTGAGGATGTCTCGACGAGCAGTGTCGGTTATGACATCGTGATTAGCACACGTGTATTGTGCTAAGTTTCCAAGGTGTCTAATAGGTACTGCTTAGGCTTTTCCTTTCTTAGAGCTTATTTTAAAAATATAAAAAAAAATTATATTTTTATTACTCAAATGCATCATATTTTAAAAATCTATTTTGAAACTATTGCGTCCTTAGCTTAGACAATACATAAGTTCAATCTTTTAAAGTTTTTTTTTATATATATATACAAGATTTTAATCTAGTGGCACCTCTTAGAATCCTTGGATCCTTAGGATGGGGTCAAGGTCGACGACCCCATCAAAATATACGCTAGCCTTTTACTCACACTCTGCACACACTTAGATGTTATGATTATGACACTATGTGCTTAGATGATATGTTAAGCTAGGACTAGGGTGCTTATGCAGTATTTTTCATGTCTACCTATTGTTCATTGGTTTGTCCCTAGCCAGACATTTTGTGTGCTTCCTTTGCGTGTCTAATAGGTGTGAGACACGTGCACTAGTATATTAGGGACATTCTTCTTGTAGGGAGTCATGTCAAACACGGAGGGACTATTATGATTTTATCTAACACAGTTTCTGCAGGTGTTATTTAATCCCCCTTTCACCAGACATGTTTCATTACGTTGCATGTTATGACTTGTATTAACCTCATTGTTTTACAGGTTGAATATTTTTTTTAGACACTATCATGTACTTTTTAGAGTCCCTAGACTCAAGTTTGCATAAGAAATAAGATACGGGCATGGGTTTTAAGGTGTCTGACGGGCGGAATCGCATAACAAGGAATAGGAGCGCTTGTTTATGGCTCTTAACTTAATTCTAAATCTCTTTGATGTATAACATTAAGACCATGCATGTACATGCAGTACCTAATCACATTTTTGCTTTTCTGAGATATAGTACCGACCCAGCTGCATCTGGCCTTTTATTCTTTATACTTGACTTGTTTATATTGCGTAGTGCAATCGACATTTCCTTTTACTTTGCTTTTAAATTGTCTGGAAATCAAGAAAAATGTAATTTAGGCCTAAAATTATAACTTTATTGTATAAAATTTTAGTAATAAAAAATTGTGATTAATTAAAATTTAGGATTAAAATATCTTAACTTTTCAAAACCTATTTTTAATTTCCTGCAAGGCCTCTAAACCAGATTTAATATAGCCTCCACATTAGGCATTTTTAACTCATTGCATCATACTTGCATGTCCTGAAGAGAAGTCCTCATGCTTTTTCAACCCGTCTGACCAGGCCTAAGATTTCTACTTAGGTGATTGTCTAGCTAGCTTAGGTTGTCAGAGGCTTTCCCAACCCAGACAGGGAATAAGTCATTTGTAAGAGCATATTGGATTTGTAGCCTTACCTCTCTTCACTTTCCACTCCAATAGCGTCCTCCTTACTTTGGTAGGTACAAGGTACAAGTTTCACCTCTACTTTCTGCATACGGAGGGTCACATGACTTCAAGTTTCATTCTCTTGACCTGGTCGGTACCAATGTCACCTTAGATGAAGCAATTCATGGATTGCTAATAAGGGGGTCTTCGGTTGGGATGGGTTGATTACCTTCACGACTAGCTAGATTTGAGGTCTTAATAGCTTGGGATGATGAATCCACGGTATTCTGACCCGACTTTCTCTACCCAATTATGACTACCCTACTTTCCTTTATTATACCCCCTTTGAGCCCCACTGCTGCTTTGATGCTTCGTCGATGTCTTCTTGTAGGCACCAATTGTGGATATACCACCACCCATTTGGAATACGGTGATTCACCCTCTACACTTATGGCACAGTTAAGATGGAAAACATAATGCGGACTCCATGAGGTGATCTGGTTATTTCACAGGCCTCAACTGTCGATGGGTCACCATTCGTGTGGGATCGTTAGAGACTCGCTCTCTGCCTGTATGACTTAGCGTGGGCTTTGAAAACATCAAAATGCTTCTATGAGATGACCATTTTTTGACACGCTCTACTTTTTGTCACTTGAATGTAAGTAGGAGTCTTTTTATCGAAAGTATTCTTAGGCATCCTCAAGATGAAATTAACCAAATACATACATCCCTTTAGGAGTGCTCTTGAACCCAGGACAAATACACAAACTTGGTTCTCTGGTTAGTTAGACAAATTATGTAGGTATTCTCTTATGGATATTCGGTTCTAAGTGTCTCGATCCGATCTTGTTTGACATACACTCTTAACTTATCACTCGAGATTTATGTCACATAAGCTCTTTATGATACTTTTTAAATTTGTCTGCATAGTTCTTGTCTTATTTCCCTCTTTTCCAATCCATCCTCTTCTCTAAATTGTTCCGACGGTTCAAGTAAGAGGTCGCTTTGGGAAAGGAAATCTCAAGACTACGACGACTCAGAAATTAAAAAGAAGCAAAAATAATAATATGAACACTTTTTCTTACACAATAACTTCAATAAGAACTTAGGATCGTCAATAAAAATATTATGTAACTTACTTATGGATCATTTCAGGATTACACCGGTACATAGCTTGAAATTTTATGTAATTCAAGATAAATCTTAAATTTCTATGAACAAACTTCACCTAAACTTCCATAGATATTTTAATTCATCTTCCCAGAAGGCTTAGGCGAGGAGTTTCCTTTACCATATCATCCATACACAACATACAAAACGTCAAATCATCATACATGATAGACATTTTTCTGAGTTTGCATAAAAACTAGAGTTCATAGATGCGGTAAACCGTCCATATACAGGCTCGAAAACATGATTATACGACATATTATCAATGCTTTTCCTTAAACGATTACCCCAATAAAGACATGGTGTCGTAAATTACAAAATATTGTGCAGTTCAATGATAGTTAACTTTGGGATTACATCAATACTCATCATTGCATTTTATGTAATTCATGATAAAGCATAACTTTCTAAGAACTTCTCATGAAATTCCAAAAATCTTTCAGGAAGACTTATTAAATATTCAAGGATTATGCTTCAACAGACCACCCGTACACAGCATATAAAACGTCAATTTATTAAATATTCAAAATAGGTTTTCTCAAAAAGATTATTCTAATACATCCATATCGGCGCATAACAGGAAAGTTAGTGAATTAAATCGATGGATTAAATAAGCATTCTATCAGGATACAACATTGAATTTTAAAAAATTCATGATTCAATTAACTATTCTATAAACAAAGCTAACATAAATTTGTATAAAAGTTATAGTTATTACTTATGGGAAACTGAATCATGCTTTTTGAATCTGTGTTGATATCGATTTTTGATGTCGCATGTGTGAGATTTCCACCTAAGAGCACCGAGGCCATGCTTCATACATATGTTGTTTTTCGTAGCTCGAGATATCTGTTTGAGACCTTTCAACACATATTGAGGGCACACATCTAGTGTCATTCAGCTAGACTATGACTTTCGATTGGGTGAATGTCGATCGACACTTTGCAGATTGGATGACTCCGATCGGATCGACGAATATAATTAGTCACACCGCGCACAAAATTAGCTTGAATTGGCTATTCTCATTGCACGCCCTAGCCTCTCGCGATAGTTGCCGAAACTCACATTACCTCGCGGCTGTGTCATCAACAGTTTCCCTCTTTAACGGTCCTCGGTCGGTGTTGCATGCCAATTCTCGGTTCCAAAGAGATCGCGTCGTCCTTACCTTGTTTCTTCGTGACCTCTCCTTCGGCTTAAGCTCCCTAGCACCCCCAACTTTACCGTCGGCGGTGACCGGCCTTTGCATGATCAACTCACACCGGTGAGCCCATCAGTGACCTCCTTTCCTCGCCAAGATTGTGTGCCCTATCTAGCTCTTCACGCCTCTGTTGGTGATTCCGCTCGAGCCTGCGCCTCATCGTGTCGAATGCCAGTGGTTCTTACCTCCCTCCTCTCCCCGGCGACCCTAAACACCGATAAGTCTTTCCTCACGCTAGCTAACCACTGGCCTTGCCTCCTCTCTTCGATTGAAACCCTCGTTGCAGCCCTTCTCTTGATTATTTCATGCGACCTCTCCCCGGTCTCATCGACTTCCCGCCGGTGAATTCCCCACCGTTAGTCTCTCCCGTTGGCAGCCCTGCTCAAGTGGTTATCCCTTATAGTGAAGTCTCTCATCCCCTATCTCTTGAGATTCCCTAGGGGTAACCTCCTCGTGGCTGAAATCCTTCGCACCGGCAATTCTCGCAGATCTCCCTCTCGATGTCGACAACCCCTCGTAAAATAGCTCCTCACGAGATCTCTCTAGCTCATGTGAAACCGAGCTTAGGGCAAGCAAATCTGACCTTGCCTCCATCTCCCATTGATGGAGCTCAGACCAATGGCGGGGCAACAATCATGTTACGGTGATAGCATTGTGGCGTATTGAAACCCCATTCTGCCCCTTCCACAGCGGTATGTGTTGGTCTCATTTTCTTTTGTTGTGATATTTATTTTGGGTACTTGCATATCTCTCCTTTTGCACTCACTTGATACGTCGGCGCGTGGGCTTATCTCTTAGAGCTTCTTCCTACGTGAGTACTTACATTTGCTACCGTCACGATGGTGAGATTTTCTAACTCTTAGCCAACTCTAGGATCAGTCCAGTCTAGGCACGTGGGTCTGATCACCCACGCGGGGTGGATGTGCCAACCGACACTTGTCGGCATGGCTGCATCGCCTATGTGATGCATCGTTGCTTTCCCTAGAGAAAGCTCTAGGTTAGAAATCTCGTGTATTGACCATTCCTATGTGGAGCCGAGTGATTCCCTATTGTGAACCCTAGGTCTTAATCCCGTTGGGTTGAAATCTCAATTTCCCATAGATTTGGCGCTCTCAACCTCCCTTGGAGAGGTTGGTTGAGTTAACACTTAGAAGATGGAAAAAGCTTTGTAGTCAATCTGTTATACGAGATCGCAAACATTCATATAATGGAAAAAGCTTTGTAGCTAGTCTGCCTTACGAAGAGTAGAGGGTTTCCCATATGAGAAATAGGGGGAAGCCCTCCACATTGTCACGCCAAAGCTGGAGGCGGTTATGCCACAAATCCAAGGGCGTCAAGCTTAGGTGCCAACGTGAGGTCGTTAGGATGAGTTTGATGCGTCGTTGAATGTGTTAGGTTTCATTACATGTGCATGTCCATCTTGTTGCATTTTTATATGTGATCATATGTTGCATATCATATGTGTGAATATGTGAGCACTTCAGGTTGATTGACTGTCCTAGGCCGATCCCTTATCCTCCGTTGGGTTCGATCGATCATCTCGGGCTGATCAACCTATATTTTGGGTTTAAACGACCACTACATGTTGGTCACCCATTTTGGGTTCAATCGGCTTTTGGGATCGATCAACCGTTAAGTGTCAATCGCCCATTTTGGGTTTGATCGGCTGTCTCAGGTCGATCATCTTATGATTTGGTTTTGATTGACTAATATCTTTCAATCACCCATCTTGGGTTCGATTGGTCATCCCAAGACAATCACCCGTCCTTTTGGGTCGAATCGATTACTCTGGATCAATTCACCTGCTTCTTCGATCCGACTGGCCACTAAGACCCAGTCAACCAACCACCCGTTGCCCTACAGAATGCCCACCTCCGGGTCACTACCTCCATGACACACCATTTCATTCGGGCTGCTTTCGCCACACCATGCCCATCTTCGAGTCATTGTTTTCTCGGTATACCCTTTCATTTCGGTTGTTAGCTTCATGACATGTCCGTCCTTTTTAAGTCAATGCCTCTATGACATACTCACCCTCACCACTTTGGTGCGCTCTTGTCATATGATTGTTGTGTATCCTGTATGTTTGCATGTGTGCTTGGTGAGTGCCTCTCGGGTAAGGTGTGAATACTTATTATAGGTATCCTTTTACTCGATGTAAACTCACTTGTAGCCGGTGTCTGCTAGTCGCATAACACCCCATGTCCTCAGGTAAGTGTAATTCCTTTTCGTATGTATCTTGTTTTATCAGTACATCCCATTTTTGTGTGTAATATTGCATGTAGCATACTTGTGCTTATTTGCATGATGTGTGTTCGTCTTTTTGAGTGCCTGTTGTGATTGTTTCATACTTCGGTGTGGCGCCTCTTGCATGTTTATGTGCTTGCTCATCTACCTCAATGGTTGTCCTACTCATTAAGAGAGTGGCACGTTTATTGGTTGTGATACTCAAACGAGTGCTACCCTTGAGGACACTTTCACAAACAATGCGAGTTTCTGTATCACGAGCAAGAGCAAGAAACATGTATGATTGTGCGAAGGATCAAAGGGTTCTAACGCGCGTCATATGCATCATGAACTCGCATTATTGGTCTATTATTTTAAAAGTATAAAAAATAGATATTTTTACTATTATAAGTATTATCCGCTTACTTTTAAAGTTATATGTGAGGCTACTTATTTTAAAATGTCACAAACTCTCCTGTGACGTGTTTTAGATTCATTGGATCTTTAGGATGGAGCCGCGACCCTGTCAAAGTCATACGTAGCTGGAGACTTTACCCTATGCACTTAGGTGCTAGGTTAGAACACTTTTTATTAGATGATGTGCTAATCTAGGGTCCATGTTGTTAGGTAAACCTTTTGATTACTGACTATTATTCTTTGTTACATTGGTTTTCCTAGCTAGACATCGTTCTTGCTTTGTGCTTTTTGTGTGCTCGCATGTCTGATATACATGGTGGTATAGTAGGACATTCTTCTGCAAGATGTCATGCCTATACATATGCACACACACACACATAGGTACAATAAAAGGAGGAATTTGTAAGGTTTTCTAACCCTTTGCTTGCAGGTGTCATTAGCTCCCCTAATTATAAGACACAACCTATTTCACGTTGCATGTCTTTCACCGTTAGCACTTGTTTTCATGTAGGTCGAGTCATTTTTTTTACTTTTCCTATGTACCTTTTTGAGTCTATGAGAGTCCTACAGAAGAAATAAGATATAACCACGAGGTTCGAAGTTTGGGTGGGAAATACATGGAGGGGATCAGGAGTTGATGCTCGTGTCTCGTATCTTAATCCTACATTTGATATTGATGTATTGAATTAGGCATGTGCATGGAGCCCATTCGCCTTTTTTTTGGATAAGTTGTCAATCCAACGACACCATCCTTTCTTATTTATTTGATTTGGCTTATTTTCTTACCTTATTACGTGTCTGCATGCTTGGATATTTTTCTTATTTATAAATGTGGTTGTGTCAGGGAATTACGATTCAATGTAGGCTCTTTTTTTCCCGCATGGCCTTCGGGCTGTATTTTAAAAGGGTTGCTTGCATGATTATCTCCCAGTCATAATTAATACGGTCTCCATATTATTTAAAGACTTCTAAATAATTGCATTCATATTTGCATGTCCCGAGGAGAAGCCCCCGTACTTCTCAAACACGACAGACCCATCATACTTTTTTTATATATAAATGGTTGTGTAGTGCGCCTAGGGTGATAGAAGGTTCCCCAACCCAGACAGGGTACAAGTCATTTTTTTAGACTATTTCCACCTTTGTAGCTAAATCTCCACTTCTCTTCCTTTCATGAGACATCCTTGTCTTTTTGGCAGGTGTAAGTCCCACCTCTTGAGGCTCCAACTCATAGTCATAGGATTAAATTTCATTCATTTGATCTTAGAGTTATCGAAGTCCTCGTGGACGACGAAATTCACGGATTGTTGACTGATGATCTCAAGATGTGTTGGGTCGACTACCTTCATGACTGAAAAGAATTAGATTTCTAGTGGCTTGGGATCTGTGGTACCCAGACCCAACTACCTATACCTTCTAGGATCATTCTATCTTCATTTTGTTGAGCCCCTTGAGCCCTTTCTCTCTTTGACTTCATCGATATCATCTTGATGGTCCGATGCTGATGAGTTGCCGCCCGTTTGAAATACGACGATTTGTAATCTACCCTTATGGCCCAGATGTGTTTTGATGTATTGGGATTCCCCGTTAAGATGATTTTGGTTATTCTGTGGGCTCTGTATGTCGATGAGCCGCTACCCACTTTGGATATGAGAGACTCATTCTCTGCCTGATGGCTTAGCATAAGCTTTTAAGCATCGAGGTTTTCTCATACAGACTAACCTTCCTTTGATGATCTATTGCCCTAGGTTCATGATAATCTAAGCGAACCTCCTTTTATCAAGTGTATTCTTAGTAATACCCTAAGAAGTAATTAACCAATAGGAACATCTTCCTCTGAGAGTTCTCTTGACCCCCATAACAGGTACGCCCGATTCTTTATGTTATGGGTAGTCTACGTAGAAACTTCTTTTGCTAATATTGGTTCAAGGGCTTCCGCCTGATATTGTTTGGGCAGACATAATTGACATATCTTTACGAGGTTTATTGCACGTAGACTCTCCACGTTTGACTTTTTTTCTTTTTTATCACTTCGTCGTATGTCTCTTCTTATTCAGTTTTTCTTCTCTTTGAATCACTGATCTGATTCGGGAGGGAGATTTATTCAAATAAGGGAAGTATACGACGATCGACAAGCCGACGACTCCTTTTAAAACAAAAAATGAGAAAAAAAGGAAGCAAAAACAATTAGTTAACCATACATACACAACATTTAGATCATGATTTTTTGACATATTATCAACACTTCTATGAAGACGGTGACCCTAATACAAACGTAGAAATTACAATAGTAAATGGTATACATATCATCCATTGAGCATATGCTCCTTGATTATTTCAGTGCCAATAAACATAATGAGTAAGCAAACTCAGCCCTGAAAAGATTCATTCTTTCTTCCCAATCTCTATGGTCAACCCAATTAACTTGTTCTCTGCAAATGACTGATTCCATATATTTGCACACAAACATTCCGCAGTCGTATTTGTTTGTTTGTGTAGGTAGACTTTCAACTTCATGAATTTCCCAAGTTTTAATATTCCACTTGAAAGCCCCAGGAAAATCTTTAACAAGTTGTTTTATCTGCATAAACAATAAAAAAAATTAATTCACAAACTAAATTATGAAAGCAATTATCAATTTACTTCATCTCTAATTATAATGTCATTACAATCTTATAGCAAATATCCATATGTGCTGCATTTGGAAGCGAATCGTATAGATGCCAATTTTTTTTCTTTAAATCTCCCACTAGAAGAGTCCAATGTTGTCTCTCTGCTATAGGAATTATAATAATTTCAGCATTATCAACACTTCTTCTAGAAATATGGCTAGCATACATCAAGCTTTCTTCTATGTAGCCTAACTCTGAATAGCCCTGCAGAGTGAAAACATGTTATTATTAGATTTATACTAATAATTTTTTAATTCATTATCAATATTGCAAAGAAACATAATTTTTTTTTTATCTCACCCAATATAATGATGATATGAACAAGAATTGTTTGTATAAATCTGGACATAGCTTTTGCTTCTCTGCCAACAAATAAG